AAAAAATTAAGAAATAAAAAAAAACAGACGTGATGCCTGCAGCTTTGTTCTTTTTACTAGATAGCTTTTTGCTATTCATGTTTTTTTGTGCTTGAAATGAATATTAGGAGTATTTTTAACTAGTTCTGAAAGAAATATTTTGATGGGGGTCACATTGAACCTGTAAATGATTTTTGGTAGCATGGACATCTTACCAATATCGATTCCTTCAACCCATGAACATGGATGGATGCCTTTCCTGTTTTCTGGGATGTCTTCTTCTATTATTTGTCATTGTTTTGTGATCTTCATTAGGGTGGTCTTCCACCTGCTTAAGTTTCTTTCTCAGTATTCTCTTAGAGTTTTACAGCTATTGTATGAATGGAATTCTTTCCTGTTTTCTTTCTCAGCAAATGCATTGCTGGTGTATGGAAAGGCTGCTGACTTTTCTATGTGGACTTTATATCCTGCTACTTTCCTAATTCATTTATCAGTTCTAACAGTCGTTTGGTGGAATCTTTAGGATTTTCTACATTTAGACCCTTATCATCTGCAAACAAGGAAGTGACTTACTCCCTTCATTCTCCCTTTATTTCTTTGTATCTCCTAATTATTTTGGCTATAATTTCTAGTATTGTATTGAATAAGAATGGTTTGAGTGGACACATTCTCTTATTTCTGATCTTAGAGAAAATTCTTTCAGCTTTTCCCCATTAGTATGATGTTGGCTGTGGGCTTGTCATAAATATCCTTTATTTTGCTTAGGTATTATCTTCCCAAACATTATGTGTTCAGGGCTTTTATCTTGAAAGGATGTTGAATTTCATTAAATGCTTTTTTTGCATCCTTTGTGAAGATCATGTGATTTTTATCCTTCTTCTGTTGATGGGATGTATAATGTTTATTAATTGCTTATGTTGAGTCATTCTTAGATCCCTGAGATGAAACCCACTTGATGGTGGTGAATGATCATTTGATGTGTTGTTGAGTTTAATTCAGTAATATTTTCTTGAGAGCTTTTGTGTCTGTTGTCATAAAGGATATGTTTTAGTGAGAGCTCTCCAGATAATCACAACCTGTGTGTGTGTGTGTGCATGTGTACACAAATTTATTGTAGGAATTAATTCATGAGATTATGGAGGCTGAGAACTCCCATGATCTGCTATCTGCAAGGAAACCTAGTGACATAATTCAATCCCAGCTCCAGGACTCAGGAACAAGAAGGGCCAATGTCCACGGGTAAGAGAAGATGGATCTCCCAGCTCACATTTCCTCCATGTTCTCAAACGCCTTGTTCAACAAATTGGATGAGACCACCCACACTGGGGAAGGCAATCTGCTTTCTCAATCCACCAATTGTAATGTCAATCTCTGTAAAAACACCCTGACAGACTCTCACATAAATAATGCTTCATCAGCTGTCTGGGCATCCCATACCCCAGTCAAGTTGATACAGAGAGCTACCCATCTCCGACATTTAAGCAGACATCTCAAAAGTGAAAAAGAATTAACCAATCAAAGAACCAAGATACCTAATTGTCAAGAAGATAGACAATAGCAAGTATTAAACAGGGAGAGGAGAAATTTGAATCCTTGGGCATTAATAGTGGGATTATAACATGATGTAGGCCCTTTGGAAAAGGGTTTGGTGGTCCTCAACAATGAAACATCATCACCATATGACCCTACAGTTCAACTTCTAGGCATATATCCAAGAGAACTGAAGACATATGTCAGCCTAAAACTTGAACTTGAATGTTCACAACTGCATAATTCACAGCAGCTTGAAAAAGAAAAACGACCCAAAGCCCATGGGTTGATGAGTGGAGAAGCAAAGTGTGCCCTGTGCTTGCAATGGAACATGACTCCACCAGGACACAGAGGAGGTGCCGATGCGTGCTGCAGCAGGGGGGCCTGGGGACATCACCAAGTGGAAGAAGCCAGACACACACAGTCACCTGTGAGTCTGCTAGTGTGCAATTCCCAGAATAGGCAAAGCCATAGGTGAAAACTAGGTTAGTAGTTGCCGGGGATAGGAGGAAGAGAAGAATGGGGAGCAACTGCTAATGGGGACAGGTTTCTTTTTGGGGTGATAGAATTTTCTGGAGTTAAATACTGTTGATGGTTGCTTGATCTTGTAAAATTTAAAAAGGCATATTTTCTTGTGTATAAGTTTTATCTAGGGGCTGGGTTGTGGCTCAGTGGTAGAGTGCTCACCTAGCATGCATGAGGCACTGAGTTCAATCCTCAGCACCACATAAGTGTAAAATAAAGATATTGTAAAAAATGTTTTATCTAAATGCAATAAAAATTTTTAAGAAAGAGCCTATATCAGAGATAAATAATACACATACAATAGATGCACATATTTATTGTCAAACTTTGTAGTGCCATGTCCAGTATAATAAAGCTGACAAAAGCTAAAATAAATACATACTTTAAAACTGTTAAATATTTTAAATCATAATTTAAAACATGATACAAAACACAAACACAGACCACATTTATGTATCATAGTTATTTCTAATGCAGAATATATAAATATTTACAACATTTGAGCAATTTCAGAGAAAATAATAACTCTTTCCATATGTAATCTGATCACGATAGTCCCCCTCCCCTGAGTCCTTCTGCCCCTTAAGAACCTCTGCTTTCTCATCTTTATCACACCTCCTGTTTACTGCTGGCTCTGCCGCTGCCAACCTTCAGGCAGCACTTACTTGAAATGTTCCTCTTCAACATGCTAAGTTAAAAGAAATGTGGGAAAGCTTTGATGTGGGCAGCTTTGGCACTTACTGACCAGGAATGTCTCATTGTCAGTGATACCTGGAAGTTCCTTAGGAATTTTAACCTCTCCTTAGAAACATAATGCTCACACATACAAGCTTTCCCCTCTTCCAGGACATCTAATATACAGAATAAAACAACTAAGAAATAATCATTAGACATTCGCTCTTTGAAAATCCACTGATTGGATCTTCACATGATGAGTTCTTATGTATTGAAACCTTATGTAATACAAAATAATTATGTGATAATATCTGACAAACACCTTTGTAGGAAGGTAAAGTACATCAATGTGTCTACAATTTTTTTAAACAAAGAAAGTCTCAAAATTGTACCTTCATTTGTTTTTATTGATGCTTTTATCATATTTAGAATATTAGGCCTCATAGAAGTTTTATAATAAGAAAAGCTATCATAAGAAAGCAAAAATTAGTGAAAAGAATATGGTAATAATATAAAAACTCTCTACTCTGGTGATAGTACCATGTTTTAAAAAACCTGTAGTAAAATTCTCAGAATGTCACCCTGATTCACGTATGTTATTATTTGAAATAAATCTACTGCAGTTATAACATTGAAATTTGTTAATAAATAAGAAGGTGGATCAATAACTTTACCATATCATACTCAATAACATTTACAAAATTTTCAAGTACCTTTAACTTTTGTACTGAGTTAATTATGGAAGATCATACTGTATTCAAGGCAAGTAGAAAGAGCACAACCTTTAAGAACACTTTAAAAACACATGAGTGAACATGATTAAGACTGTTTGGTGATCCTTGAACTGAGCATTAAATAGGATTTGCACCTTGCACCACGAATAACCTCCTGTGTAGACATCTCTGGGCATTAAAAACTATACATATTTTCTTAAGTTAGAAGAAAAATATCTGGCCAATTGGTTCCCTGTAAGCTACTGATAATTATTACGTTCCCCTCTGAGAGCAATTCTGTAACTAGCAGTTGCAACACTGTGAGGGGCTAAAGAGAAACAGAGCCAGGAAACAGTGTTCCTCCACTGAGATTCAAAGCCACAGAGGGAGAGTGAAGAAAAGAATTCTGAGAGTCCAGAGCCTTAGTCTCTTTAGCTTGCTTTGAAGAAGATCCTCTCCCCTTAGCAGCTGGCACTTTCTTTATCTTGAGAATAGGAAACAGAAGACTTTCTTCTCTTTTGTGTCTTTTGGTGGAAGACTGCACTTGGCTCTGAACTTAATCCACTGAAGTCATGGTCCCAGCTGTCAAGGCATAGGACAATGGGCCAGAAAGGCCAGGGGGCAGGACACCTCTGCTGTCTTCAGTGGTTCAGACTAGTTCCCGGGATGCACCAGTGTTCCTGCAATTGCAAGCAAATGTGCATGTCACCAGAAAACTTCAGCATAATGTATACTGTAAGTGACAACAAAATGCACATTCTAGCACAGAATACTATGCATTCTGGCTGGGGCCACCCAAATAGCAACATCAAGTGCTGTTCAGTTAGAACAGGGAAACTATTCTTTATGGCACAGTAATGGTGGCTACAGGTGATCATGTATCTGTTAAACCCTGCAGAAAGCACAACAAGTGAACACTAGAGTAACCTGGGGACKTTAACTAATAATAATGCATCTCTACTGATCCATCAATTGCATCAATTGAATCATGCTAGTTCAAGATGCTGGTAACTCTGTAAGATATTAGAACTCTGTATTTTCTGCTCAATTTTTCTATAAAATTAAAATTGCACAAAAAATGTACATTAATTTTTTGGAAAAAGTATTGCAGGGGACTTCACTTGAACATCACAAATCCTCACAAAGCAGAGCAGATGTTTAAGAACACAGATTCTAGAACCAGACTGCCTGTGCTTGAATCCTGCTACACCACTTAGGAGTTTTGAGACTTCAGGCAAGTCACTTAGCTTCTCTCTGCCTCCTCTGCTCCATCTAAGTCAGGAGAAATAGAATAACCATCCTATCTCATGGAGTTCCTAGCTTAGAACAGTTCCTAGGGCACACACAGTAAGTGCCACATAAGGGTCAGTTGTCACCATCATTATTATCTTTCATAAAGGAAATGGCTCAAGAAAGCCAGATCTCTGTTTCTTCCCTCTCCTGCAAAGAAACAAAACACCTTTTCAGTAAGCCATGGAGATGGAGAGGTCCTGAGGACAATGCAGGCTGGAAGGGGCCCAAGGATGAGCAGAATGCCTAGGGAGGTGCTCCCTCATGACATGCCACTCGCAAGTCTTACCAGATTCCTTTGAGCTTAGATGAAGTCCGAAGGTATCTGGTAGTTTCCATGGGATTCAAGGCTTTGGCAGCTGCTGTGGGACAAGTGAGAACAGTAATAAGCCACTGTTTTTCCACATGAAGAGAGGAAAATGTTCAGAAGTTTCACAGAAGGCTTTGTACAAGAATGCAACTTACCTCGCAGGGACAAATTTCCTTGCTGCAAGAGAAAGAAAACCATTCCTTTAGACCAAATGGCTTTTAAGGACATTGCAAATTCAAACAGGATGTGACCCAATCATCAGGGTTTGCAAACTTAGTGCCCCTGCACTCTGTAATAATCAGAGCAGGAACACAACCAGGTTACTAAGATAAATGTACAGTGCACAGCCATCAAAGGACACAGCAGCTTTCTGACAGCAGCCACTAGTCACAGGTTCAGCATTTCATGACAAGCCCCAAATCAGGATTATTTTTAGCATGAAAATTTTTATTTCTTAAATGTCTAAACTTAGTTTAAAATTTGTAAAATGTTCTGTAGGACAAACAAATCATGAGCTTGGATAGATGTGTTTGTGTATTCCTTAGGAGGTATCTCCAAATTTAAGACTCTATTCCAAATAATCTTTTAAGAAAAGATTTCATCCATTTCCCTGGGCGCACAAATCAACTAAACTCCAGAGTCAACCCAGTATTCAATGCAAATAGCAACCCCTGGAGTTCAGCAATTCTAGCATACTAACACTTATTTTCCTAAAACACTTCCAACTTTGGGTTGCCTTGTGAAATCTTTCCTATGATTTTGCTTAATAATAAAGGAGTCATTACTGTTTGTTATTACTGTATAAGTCTGAAAGAGAAACCATGAGTCATCAATGACAAAAAACTAATATGTCAAAAATATTTTTGGAGTATATTCATAAGCTCCCTCACCTTTCTTCCGAAAGTATTTCAGAAGCCAGAGGAGAAATGATGTCAATGACAGGAGGGAGAATCCTGCTGCAGAAAGTCCAGCTGCCAAGGGAGTGCTGGACTCTGGGGGAGCTGCGGCAACAGAGGGGAGGATGGGCATGAGGAGCTGGCTTGAAAATCTTTCTGTCTGTCCACTTCTCCTTTTCTATTACCTCGTTCCCAGGAGCAGAAGCCCCATCTGGTTCAAGTCATGAGGCAGAGGTGGCTAACCTGCCCTTTAGACCTGTCCAGCTCCCCTTGGCTGCCCCAGCTCTGCCAGGCAGAACTCTACCCTGCCAGCTCTTTCACACCCCTCACCCTTCCCTGCTGGACACTGTGCTGTACTTGCTCAGCACCCACCCCCGCCCCCCGCCCCCCCCACACTTTCTGTTTCACCCTCTTCCTTTCCCCTCAGGTCTTCTTTGCCACTGTTAGAATTCTGCCCATTCCGTCCACATGCCACATCTACCGTTTTCTTCCTGTCTCCATAAACTTAAATATGTGCAGATGCTTAACCACTCTGATATGGGCCCAGTGCWTCTTTAATTGCTCTAGTAAGACAGCTCCCTCGCTTCTCTCTGGTCACCCAGACAACCAGCATCAACCAATGCATTACCTTCACAGGTAGGCAACGTCCCAGACCAGTGTCCTGTGGCACCACATGTCAGAGCTGCAGAGCCATTGAGCATCCAGCCCTCAGGACATGCAAACTCACACACAGTGCCAGACACWGGCTCCCCACTGCAGCTCATGTTGACCTTTCCTGGAGCTGCCAGGCTTGAACACTGCACCACTGCAAATGACAGGCACATGGGGAGGGGGGTTAGGAAACATCTGCTGCAAACTTGTAAAGTGGCCCAAGTCACCACAAGCCTAACTTATAAGCACTACATACAACTCAGCATGTGGGAAATTAGAATCAAGCCCCCTGAGACCACTGAGACTCACAATCTTATGAGGCATGTGACCTGCACCCTCAAGTCTGAACTCACCCTACCTTGGCAGGAGGGGACCTCGTGTGTCCACTGCCCCTGAGATGTGCACTCCAGTTGAGCTGATCCATGTAAGTCAAAGCCATCGTCACAGTGGAAGGTGCAAGAGGACCTGTAGGGGAACTCTCCAGTAGGGGAAGGAGAGCACTTCAYGGAGCCATTCAGGGGCACAGGGAGAGCATTGCACTGCACAGCTGGAAGGCAAGAGTGAGCCCTGTGGAGCCCCGTGTGCCACRTGGCTGCAGGGGTCTCCAGGCAGCCCCCCCCAGGCTCCCCAATAGCTTCTGTCTTAAAGCCAAGTAGAAACAAAGATGGTTTCTTCATATCTGGGCTCTCTAAAATGGAGCAGGTACCAAACCTACCACATATATTGACTGAGAGAACAAAATTTACTAAAGATGACCACAAATAGAACTTTCCCTGGGGGTTTGGATGAGGTTATGGGAAACTGAGGCAGGGAGGGTGAGCTGGGGACGCCCTGTGCATTCTGAGGGAGATTTACCTCTGCAGGTGGGAAGAGGAGCACTCCATTCCCCAGAGGACATACACCAGGTGGTCTCCACACTGCTTGGCAGGTAGCCACTGTCACAGCTGACGGAGCAGGAGGAATTGTAGCTGAAGGTCCCAAAGGGTGAAGTGCAAACCAGCCTCCCGTGCTCAGGGTTTTTCTGTGCTTTACAGGTCACAGCTGGAAAAGGGACCCAAGTCAGTTCTGCCAGCTTTCACCTCACCTCGGACGGGGGTTGGGAGGATGGGGAAGACAGGCTATGACTGGGTCCAGGGAAAGGAGGACGTGCAGGCCCGACTCCAGACCACCTGGGGCAGGGGATGGTGCCTTGTCTCAAGTGAAGTGAAGGTGACGACACACTTACCGTGCTCACACTCGAGTCCACTGAAACCGGGGTGGCACCTGCAGGTGTAGTTGTTGATGGTCTCTATACACTCCCCATGGCTGCTGCAGGAGGCTTGGGTGCAGGCAGCTGCAGGAAACACAGCCGTGAGGACAGGTCTGTGGTGCTTGTGGGAAATTCCTTACAATTTAGGATCAATCGCATGTAATGACATCACCTAAGTTATGGGGTGCCCGAGATTTTAATGGTGTCTCACAAAATGCCAAACCTGAGCTCCAGGTTCGTCTAACATACTTGATGTTAATGTTGGAGGTGTAGGGAGGGGTGCAACAACACCATGCACAGAGAATCCCTCAGCACACGCCACGAGACACTTCCCCTGCCACAAGCAAACCAGCACCTGAGCTGCCATGGTGCATCTGTGTGGCATTCTGTAGGGGTGTGGCCTCCCGGCGTGTGCTCACACTACACATGTGCACATGTTCTTGCCTACATCTGTGCCAAGGAGTAAAGGGGGGCCTWGGCAGGAACACCTGGTTTTCAAATCACGTTTCAGAGCAAAGTGGCCACGGTGGAGACCAGTGGCTGCCACTGTGAGTCGTCAGGTTGTGGCTGCCTGTGGCTCCCTACCTGTGTAGCACAGCGCGAGCTTCTTTTTACTGCAACTCTCATCGTTCCACTTGCCGGAACCTTCTGGTCTCTTGATGTAGATCTCCACGCAGTCCTCGTTTTTCTGCTTATTATTGGGTTCTCCTGGAGCCCAGTTCTTGGCTTCTTCAGTCAGGGGCTTCTGGGTCCCCACCCAGATCCACACACCATTGACTTTTCTGATGCCGATCCAGTAATAACTTGGAGAATAGCTCAACGTGGCGTTCAGGTACTCGATCTCCTCTTTGTTTTGAATTGCGACCAGGTGTGTGTACCTTTGCTGACAATAAGCACTAGCCTCATCRTAAGTCATSYTTMTCCTGGACACATTGTAAGTCCAGGCCGCGCTGTAYTTAATGAGRAGCACTAGGRGTGGAACAAGARAGAAWGGCAGCRTTTAGTCCTGCTGGGCTTAACTCTAGCTCTCTGGGTCWTTACTGTSTTATTTATGCCAGWCTCKGGATTTGGGGTGACAAAATTTTTCACCTTTTCAAAAGTAAGAAGAGGAAATAAATATTAAAGAAACCAGAGTTTCCTGTGCATCACTTCTGTGGCCAACCAGCCCCCGGGGCTTTGTTGTCCCCACCTTTGTAACAAATTTGTTATTCTGCTGGTGACTCTGCAGTATTGAGCCCTTAGTATGAGCCACCAGGTGCTGAGAGAGGCACTTTTCAACCGAAAATAACATTTTGGAATTTTATATTTGGAATATAAAATCACACAGTGCAGTCAGATTGTTGCCTACTTYAAGTTTGTCAAGATGTCCCCACATGTACCTAAACTACTGTACCATTGAATTGTCACAGTGCCTATGTAGGCCATTTTTGATCAACGTTTCACACATATGGAAACATGACACTAAGAAGTGAATTTCCCTAGTGCCAGGCGGGAAGAGGCCAGGGATGCTGCTAAACTCCCTCTGCACAGGACAGCCCCACAGGAGGAACAATATCCTGGTCTACAATGTCAGTAGGGAGGTGATGAGAAACCCTGGTCCAGTGTTACCAAAAGTGAGAGTGGAGAGAATCTGACTTACCAAAAGTGAGAGTGGAGAGAATCTGTGAAGCAATCATGGCCTCAGGACTTCTTCTCACCAATGGATTGGACTTGAAGTACTTTCCTGGGGAGAAAAATTAATTATAGAAGGAAACGTTAGGCAGCCAATTAATTACTCAAGTCATTCGAGCCTGGTGTTTAGGTACCAGCATAAGATTTGAGATAAAGGATTAAGGATTCCAGTGCCATAGCTTATTTGAGAGGTGCTACTGGAATGAATGAATAAATTTTAAGATCTTCCTCATTTAGGTGAAAGAGAAAAGACAGGCTTTAACCACACTACAATTAAAGCGTGCACAGATCTCTTACCAGAGGCTGTTTACACATCAGTTTATTCTGATGAATCTGTTTCATGGCCCAAGGCTGCTCTTKCAAAGGAGTCTGCACTTACAGTTCTGCGCGGTGCTCCTTGGCTCACACTGCTCAGGTGTGTTGGGATGCTTCTGTCTCCTGATCCTCTGGCACTTGTGATGTGAAATCAGCCAAGCCAAGTCCTGTTGAGCTTCGCCTCTGCTGGGCACTTTATAGCAGGGCTCACATCCTGTGAGCAACAGGAGACTGTCCAGATCCAGCCAGGAGGAAATTCCCAATGATATCCAGAAATTTTCCCGGAATATCCACAATGCTAAAAATTACAATGATCTCAGAAGTGCTGCCCCTCAAAGTTAATTCTCCCTCGTCCTGCCTTTGTGTTTTACATACACTTTTACTAACAGGACACAGCCGCCTGGCTTTTAATTCTAATAGCATAACGTCTAGGTCTTTAAAATGTTTTAAGACTTTATTTATCGTTGTGGTTTTCATGTAATTGTGGCACCAATCAGTTTCATAAACATAAATTACCTAAGGATTTCTGTTGTCTGTGGTTCTCCATCCTCAAGTTTTTCATCCGTAGCTGTCCATAATAGATGAACAGTCACTTTCTCTTTCTTGTTCAGCCACCAACTTAACACATTTTATTGTGCACTGTCTCCCAGGGGAGTCATCAAAAGGCAGCATTACTCCTCAGGTTCTGCACACTGGCTTCAGCTACGTTACTTAGAGTAATACCTTCCACTCAAATATTTGAAACAGCACCTTGTTTTCACAAACTGAAACATGGGAAATACATTTGTATATTCATAGTTAGGTCTGTGGAAAAATAAAGATTTAAAACTACCAACTTAGTTGACACAAATTTTATTTAAAAATATCCTAAAATGTGAACTGAAAAGAATAAAAACTGGGGCAAAATGTTAACAGTGACCCCTTTGAGCTGGAAACTTTGAGGCAAATTTTATATCCTTCATGATTGTTTTCAACATTTTCCACTTTTTGTCATGACTCTTTCTACAGTATTCTTTTTTCCTACAGAATTTTCAACATCTGTGTTCAAATGCCACTGCGAGGGATGTACATAGAGTCCTACGTTCCTGCTCTTCAGAGTGGCACTTCTTTTGGGTGGATACAGCCACATCCGTTCCCATCTGGCATCTTATCTAATTTAAGTGACAGTGACAGCAAGTGGGTTATTTCTGCTCCCATGATCCTGGGGTTTAGAGTTCAAGTCAAGTTAACTTCTATGAATCCGTCTTCTTCAAACAGAGGTCACAAAGGCCACTCGGCCGACATGGGGGCAAGATGGGAAAGGCCTCGTTTTCCTCTTGTCTTGTGTGTTCTTCAGCTTTCTGTGTTCACAAAGATACCAATCCTGCACCAAACTAGAAAAAAACAAGGGATATTTCAGTGAATACACTGATTAAAACAAGGAAAAAACCTTCACTAGTTTGATCCAACCTCTGTCAGAAAGCCTACGTTAGCCAGGATTGAAAGCCACCTTCCTACTCTGTTTGTTCCAGATACTGAAGTCATTCCAACTTGGCGTCCCACTTGTCATTGCTAGATATGACTTTGTTTCTCAGCACCTGTAGAAGCTAATCACTCAGCCAGCGTTGACTCAGGTTTTAGGGGAGGATGCAATGCTGGGGTCGTACACAGTCTGTCTTGGTATATGATATCATACCCAGTCTATATAGGTTTTATTTTTTTAATAAATTAGGAATACATCCTCTGTTTTTTTTTTAAAAAAAAGCATGGTCAAACATGCATTGTAGCCAAACCTCAAGAGAAAATTTATCTGACATATTAGTGAAGGGCCTGATAAGTATTTTGTATGTAGAAATTGGTTATAAAAAGTCCTAGATAGGGGCTAAGGTTGTAGCTTAGTCGTAGAATGCTTGCCTTGCATGTGTAAAGCACTGGGTTTGATCCTCAGCACCACACAAAAATAAATAAATAAAATAAAGATATTGTGTCCATCTACAGCTAAAAAAATATTTTTAAAAATCCTAGGTAATCCATTTGCTTTTTGGATTTTCCATAACTAAGTACACAATTAATCTCTTCCCTTTCTTTAATTTGGAGATATAAATAGAGATAACCCAATTGTGATCTGTTCCTATTTCATCTAAAAACATGTGTCCTAGACT